CGCACATTACCACTACTGTCACATTTCTCCTTGAATACCCACTTGTTTTTCACTACTGTGCCCTCACTTGGCCTATCCACTAAAATCCATGTGTCATTGTCCCTAAAAGATTTCAGTTCTTCTTGCATGGCCCTGCACCAATGCTCCCTATTGGGTCCCATGAGAGCGTCCTGTAGAGATATTTGTTCACTAGTAAAGTCTTCAACACACATGTTGGAAAAACCATACCTCTCTGGTACACGACGAACACGCTTCTCTTCTTGAATGACAGCATCACTCTGAGTACCGACCAAACTGTCATCTGTTCTTAAGCACTCACTATATTCGTCATCCTGATCACTTGATGAATCACTTGCAATATATGTTGGATCTTCTCTGTCTGATCTCTCATTGTCTTCAATGCTTATTGAACTCTCCTCTTCAACACTTGTATTCTTTTCTATATCTTTGTTTGGCGCCCTCTCTTCAACCTCTACTGTGTCATTCATATCACTCTCTATGACCACTACATTCCGTGCCACAGTTATTTTATCTGTTTTCTGGTCATATAACCTGTAGTCTTTGGTATTTTCTGAATACCCAACCAAATGTAACATTTGTGATTTTTCATCCCATTTGTTATGTCTCACTTTTGGAATGTGGACCATAACTGGACTCCCAAACACTCTAATATGTTGTAGATCGGGTTTCCTGCCAGTCCACATCTCATATGGGGTAGTATTATTGCCCAAAACTGCTGCTGGTGATCGATTTTTCAAATATACTGCCATATTCACAGCCTCCGCCCATAGGTGTTTGTCGAATGAAGCGTCATGCAGAAGACAGCATGCTTTTTCTACAATTGACCTATTGTAACTTTTACTTAACCTTTCCCTTACTGCGCCCGCCATAACAAAAAACAGCTTTGTACGGGGGGCCTCTGTCGTCACCTCAGCTGGCGGCACTTGTTTTAAATATTTATGTTTCTCACGACCTTTCATTTATGTTTAAAGAGGTTTTAGTTACAGTTATTTAAAGCCCATAGGATTTTCGATAAGTAGAAAAAATAACCATAACATTTAAATGTTTATTTTATTTTGTACAGCTCTTTGTTTCTAACGGATCTTGATAAAGTGTACTTACTGACAATAAATTTTGTTTTATGAATGAAATATCGTAAGTTTTTATTTTATTTTTATGTCCTTACAATCAATACAACATATTCTTCCTAAATGAACCGAAATTATGCATGTAATAATTATAATAATTCTACTTTTTCACTTGCAAATATTTGCTAAAAATTCGACAATAGACAGTTTGCGCGTGCTTTGTAAACTCATTTTCAAAACCTTTTTGTGTATATATTTTATATCGTCTTCCTTTATTTTTCTTATACAATCATATAGATATAACATTTAGCAATTCCTAGTAAAAGTATTTACTATGGTATTCCAATAAGAAATATACTATTATTATTTTATTAGAATCTTATTAGAAATCTTGACCGTTATGAATTGTTCGCGTAGAGGTTTTATATTTCTACTTTTTTATCAATTGAAACATAAAAAGTTACTGTTGTTGTAACTTAGATCATTCAAAAACATTACATAGTAAAGATAAATAACATTACTTACCGTTTTTTGAAAGAAAATCCAACTAAAATCACAATCACAAAACTTCAACAATTACACAACTAACTGCAACAGCAGCGCAAAAGCGAATGGCTGTTATATTTCATTTTGTCTATATAACCGAGTGAATATAATTCTTCAGAATATTCTTTAGTTCATTCAGAATCGAATGAAATAGTGTTCAATTAAAAATATACTGTATTTTTATATCAATTAAGACGAAAATAGCAGCACGTAATGCGGACATGAATTCATGTCCGCGGTACTCAACGGTGTATGTTAACATGTCTACGGTACCTTAGGGGTTAAGCCATTCTGTTCCGGTGTATAGGGAACTGTCTTTTGATGAACTATCCTATGTCGCTTTAAGTAATTTTCCATCTCCACTGAGCAGAATTCCCCACCGTTATCGGACCACAATATCTTAATCTGTTGTGACTGCTGATTCTCTACCTGCTCTTTGAATTCACGAAAATACTTAAAAGTCGCATTCTTTTCCTTTAGAAAGTAAACAAAGCACATCCGGCTGTAATTGTCAATAAACAACAGATAGTATCTAGCCAAACCAAGTGATTTCTTTTCCATGGGGCCACGCAGGTCTGTATGAACCACTTCTAGGACCCTGCTGCTCATGCTGGTACTAGTAGAGAAAGGCAGCCTGCTTTGTTTGCCTTCGCAGCAAACTACACAATTTGATTTGCTTATATTCTCTTTTTTCTGGTAAGTTACACCTTTGACTGCTCCTTTTTTCATTTTCTTAAGGTCATTCATATTTATATACCCCAATCGTCTGTGCCAAATGTTGCATGAGATCTGTGCAACTGCCGCTAAAAGCTGCTTCGACCTTTCAATCTTTAATTTGTACACTTCATTTTCCAAGCTCGCTTCACCAATACAAACATTCCGAGTGTTGTAGATGTAACAGCCATCTTTATTGAAGGATCATTCTGCTGACTGAAAGCAAATTTGTGGTAAGTGTCGGTATGCACAAAACATTTTTTATTTCTACTTCTTGTGTGATTGTTTTCACTCGCATAGTAAGCCGAAGATCTCCGGAGCACAACACTGAAACTTTGATGCGATCAGCGACAATTAATTTTTTCACTTTCGGCTCATAAGATATGTTTGTCAACATGTTCTTGTTTGACACCATGTGAGCACTTGCGCCAGTCGTCTTGATTGAACTCTCGCGCAAGAAAAACTGCACTCAGCACGTTCGAAGTTGATTTCTGTTTGTCTTTATTTAATAGGCGGCACTGGCTCTTGAAATGTGCGATCCTTTTGCAATGGTAGCAACGAATTTGTTTTTTCTGGGTTGAATTGGCATTGACGTTTCTACTGACAGGTGACGGGTTCATTTCATTTCATTTTTGCTACTGCCACTATGCGCCTGTAGGTGGCGTTTCTGTACTTGTGCAATTAGCGCGCCTTCTGACTTAACCTCAAATTCCGAACTCATGTCTAACAATTTCGTTTTTATAGCATCAGCACTTATCTTCAATCCTGAATGTCGATTGCCATTATCATTGGGCTAAATCTTTCTGGCAGTCCTGCCAGCAACAGAGAGCCGATCCATTCGTCGTTTATTTCGAATCCGGTGCCCTTCAATCGCTGAGCCGTTTCCACCATCTGATTAACGTAGCTGGTCATACTATCACAACTCTCCAAACGTATTGATGTTAGGCTTCTTAGGAGAGTAATCTTGCGCGTAAAACCAGAATCATCGAACAATGATTTCAGTTTAGCCCACAAAGCTTGTACCGTGGCTTCGGTTTTTATATGGACAAACAACGACGGATCGATTGTCATAATTATTTTTGCCCTCGCCTTCTTATTTTCAGCTTCCGTTAGCCCCGTAGTGCTGGTTACATCTATGCCTTCCAGGATCATGAAGTTTTCGGCGTCAAACGCCCAGTCGTCGTAGTTCTCGCGTCCTTTTAGTTTAGGAACGTTCACTGAGTAATTACCTGACGACATTTTAGCACTGACAGTCTATAAAAAGAAGGAACACCGAAAGTCACAGACGCTAATTACTTTTTACTTTTCAACTGGGCCCATAACCTAATGAAATAATAAAACTCGCTTGGTGGTTTGCAACAGACTAATCTTTATTTATAGTCATCTTTTAACAGAGTAGGCAGATTTACACTCATATACCAATAGATGGCCTTAGTTGTATGATATTTTGTTATTAAGTTACAATTTATTTATAACAAGGACTAAGACGGAATGCCTCGTTTCCAGTAAAAAGGGTCTCCGGTTCTCTACACTCACCATACGAAACACAGCAGCATTAAGCTACTGTTTCACGAGAAAAACTCAATAATTGATTTTTTGACCCGACCCGGGATTCGAACCCAAGACCTCATGATCAGCAGTCGCACTACTACAACCACTAGATCAACGAGGCAGTTAATATTATAAATAATAATAATTTAATTAAGTTATTAAAGACCTGGATTGTCGATAAATTTCTAATACATAAACTATTAAGTACCTTGGAATAATTATAGATTCTACGTTTACATTTAAAAACCACATAAACCACCTATGCAATAGAGTTCGTAAACTAATGTTTGTTTTAAAAAAATCGTTTTTTGCTGATATTAAGGTAATAAAACAAGTATATTACGCATTATGTTGTATAACCTCATGGGGTGGAGCAGCTAAAACTACACTTCTACCACTGGAACGCGCTCAAAGAACTGTATTAAAAGTTGCAACATTCCGCCCTATTCTATTTCCGTCCCATCTCTTATACAAATCCTGTAATGTCCTTTCAGTGCGCCGGTTATTCGTTATGAGTACGTTTCTAAAACAGCACTTAAAATTGCCCTACAGAAGAGAGGTCACTGATAAAAGACTTAAAGATAAAGTAATTGAAACTAACATTAGAATAAGGCATTATTTCATGCATAGGTTTTTTTACATTCCTCGGCCCTTTTTTGTATAATCAAGTCAATGCAATTTTGTACATATATCCATTTAAAATGGACTGTATGAGTATGTATGAGACTGTAAAAAGGCAATTCGAACATGGTTACAAAATTTATCATACGATGATACGGAGAAGTTGCTGATTGTTTATATCATAAGTAAATATATTTTACCCAAATAACCCTTATTAGTTACGTTATTCATTTTATATAAGAAACAGAAAATAATTGTTAACGTATCTTTTAGCATATACACCTGATATACAGGTTTATCCTAGTTCAGGTGCCATCACAGCCTGCGATACCCTCAAAAAAAATATCGTAGCGTCAGTTACGTAATTATGTCTTCGAAAATTGTTTTAAATTATTTACTGCATTTTTGATTTTGTTACTAAAACACTAAAACACTTTGAGCAGATTATTTATTTTACGTAACATATATCAGTGTTATTACCTGGAATCTTCCTGCTTCTTTTCCATTTTTTTAGAAGTTTTTCTTTAGTGCTAGCTGCTAACCTATTGTTTTTCCTCTCCCACAGAAGAATGATCTTGTTCTTCTATGCGATCTTTGTTTCCAGAGTTCTTAGGTTCTTTTTTTCTAAAAAAGATTACAGAGACATTAGGTGTACAAAAATTGTAATGACCTCTTATATTTTACGCGAACACTACATGCGTGCGGTAGGCAAATGTTACCTCATATTCCGACGTTTCAAGCACCTTACAGCCCCCGCCCCCCCCCCCCCTCCCGTGATCATGGGTCCTGTAGAGTATAATAATAATAATAGTATAACTATATATTTACAGAACCCAACCATGTGAGAAAACTATGTAGATACCCCAAATAATAATAAGTTCTTTATTTCCAAGAGGTTGTACATCAAGATTTTTGCTTAACATTAATTTAATAAAGCCACATTGGTACATACACGTAAAAACATAGCATCTGCAGCCGAACTAGGAGACCTGTGCATCTGTCAGCTGTCAGCGCCATATCCCCACCGTTAATTTATAAAAATATTAGGATGCAAGCAAAAGTTAAATAATTAAATACTGTTAGCGACGACAAGTGACAAAGACAAAACACAAAAGACTGATAGCGTTAATACTAAGAAAGTGAATTAATTACTTATATTAGTTTCAATTCTTATTTTAAAATTACGTAACGAAAGTTAGTAACAAAGTCTAAAACGAAAATATGAATCTAATTGCTTATTTAGGTTTAATTAGAATGTTAGAAACGAAATATGAGTTTAGTTACTTATTAGAACTTTCTCTTATTATAATTCTAAAGAGCTGTATTATAGAGATATTAACATTTAAGTGTAAATTTAATGATTTGTTTAATTCTTTTTCTGTTATAGTAATTTAAAACGATAATATGTCAATTAATCACTTTTGTAATCTAATTTCTCATTATAAAATAGATTTTAATTTAATAAGAAGTTAAAATATATTCTGTATAGAATCTTAAGCATAATATTATCATGATAAGCATTGTGCATTCCTGCCAGGCTCTATAATCTTATGCCCCATTTACATTCAGCCCTATAGGGCAGGGCAGTGAGCAGGGCAGCGGGCAGGGCAGCGGGCAGGGCAGTATGTAAACAGGCTACTCGCGCTGACACTGCCGCTGCCGCTGCCACTGCCCTAGGCTTGCTCAAATGTCGGTTTTTCGTGCGGAAGTCAAAGGACGGGCAGCGCGAGCGGCAGTGAGTGTTCACATTCAGCTCCATCGCTCACTTCGCGCCAAGCGCCTGGATCTCTAGTATATACACAGTAATCTATGGCCTGGATGAACGAACGTGCGTGCCGTCTTGTTATTAAATAAGTACGATGTACCAAAATGCCTTTCAAATGGAATAATGAAAATACAATAAAGTTTTTAGAACTGCTGGAATCAGAAAAACTATATGGGATTTCAACGATAAAAACCACAATTCATCATCTTCTACGAATACGAATTTTCTTTTTGAGATAACATAGTACCTATGTACATAATTAATTATAAATTCGTCAAATTTATTATATTAATATAAAATTTAGTTTAAGGAATTACTGAACATTGATATTTTATTTCTAAAAACGATTAGTAACTCATATTGATTATTTTTTTATTAAAATGTAAAATAAGTTACATGGTTATATTTGCATAATAGCCCGAGATTTTTAAATTATAATTTTATTGTAATTAAAATTATGAATTAATTTATACTGTAGTGTAATTATAAAAATATTATTTATGTAACAATAATCATCATCATCATCATCATCACAGCCCTTCACAAGTCCACTGCTGAACATAGGCCTCCCCCAAGTAATGCCACAAAGCACGGTCCTGAGCCACCTGCATCCATCGACTTCCTGCATATCTTACCAAGTCGTCACTCCATCTAGTGGGGGGTCGCCCTACACTACGCCTACCGGTACGAGGCTGCCACTCGAGAACCTTTCTTCCCCATCGGTTATCGGTTCTTCGAGCTATATGGCCGGCCCATTGCCACTTCAGCTTACTAATCCGTTGTGCTATGTCGGTCACTCTGGTTCTACTGCGGATATCCTCATTTCTGAGTCTATCACGCGGAGAAACTCCGAGCATAGCCCTCTCCATAGCTCGCTGAGCGACCTTGAGCGTCCTCATACGGCCAGCAGTGAAGGACCACGTCTCTGATCCGTAAGTCATCACTGGCAACACGCACTGGTTGTACACTTTAGTTTTCAGAGATTGAGGTATACCTGACGAGAAGATGTGTCGTAATTTCCCGAACGCTGCCCAGCCGAGTTGAATCCGTCGATTGACCTCTCGGTCGAAGTTGGACTTACCTAGTCGGACTATTTGTCCCAGGTAAACGTACTCGTCAACAACTTCGAACATAGTGCTCCCAACAACTACCGGCATAGGTGTGACATGGACATTAAACATGATCTTTGTTTTGTCCATGTTCATCTTAAGACCTATCCGTTGGGAGGCACTATTGAGGTCATTGAGCATAGTGCTTAAGTCCTCCAGCGATTCTGCCATAAGGACTATATCGTCGGAAAATCGAAGGTGAGTGATGTACTCGCCATTGATGTTAATACCGTATCCTTTCCAGTCCAGTAGCTTGAAAACGTCTTCCAAAGCAGCGGTGAAGAGTTTCGGGGATATAACGTCACCCTGTCTTACACCTCTCTGCAGTTGGATAGGTTTCGAGTCTTCTCATAATCCACATACGCCAGGCAAAGTGGCAAATTGTACTCTTCAGTCTTCTGTACAATCTGCCGCAGGGTATGTATGTGGTCTATGGTACTGAAGCCTTTTCGGAAACCGGCTTGTTCGGGAGGCTGGAAGTCGTCGAGTCTGCGTGCGAGACGATTCGTAATGACTCTCGAAAACAGCACGTAGACGCGGCTCAGAAGGGAAATCGGTCTGTAGTTCTTCAAGAGAGCGTTGTCGCCTTTCTTAAAGAACAGGACCACCGCACTTCTGCTCCACGCCTCTGGAGCAGTGCCACCATGGAGAACGGAATTGAAGAGCTTCTGAAGGACTTCAAGTACCGGTGTTCCACCCGCTTTCAGAAGCTCCGCTGTAATTCCATCCTCGCCTGGGGCCCTGCCGTTTTTAAGGTGCTGGAGAGCCATTCTAATCTCGCTTAGACTGACGTCCGGGATATCATCGGAATAGTGTCGGATAAGACTTGCTCTTGGATTGTTACTCACACTTGCGTGTGGCTCCAACGATGATGTGTACAGCTGCCCATAGAACCTCTCAATCTCACTCAAAACCTCAGGTGTCCCGGAAACGATGCTGCCACACTCAGTCTTCAGCCTTGACAGTTGGCTCTTACGGGCAGACAGATCTCTGGCGAAGACTTTGGAGCCCTGGTTCCGCTCGATCGCTTCTTTAATACGAGCAGTATTAAAGTTGCGTAAGTCTCGTCGCATGCATTTGGAGATCTGTCTGTTCAGTTGCCTGTATGCTGTCAAATCTGTTGACGATTGCAGCCTCATATCCCGTCTCACAGCCATGAGATTAAGAGTGTGATCGGAGAGTTTTTGTGTTCTTCTGCGGCGGGTCTTGCAGAACTTAGCTCCGACCGCATGGACAGTTTCCACGAGCTTGTCATTCATATCGTCCACTGCATTGCAATCTTATAGGCACTGAAAGCGGTTGTGTAACTCGAGCTGAAAGTTTTCGGGATTTTGGATTAGAGCACGAGGGGGACGGAGCGTTGACTTCATTAGACGAGACCTCTCCAACTTAACGTTTAGGTTCAGTGTGCCTCTAACCATTCGGTGATCGCTGCCAGTTTTCACCCTTGTGATCACTGAGACATCACTGAACAGTTGGCGTCTGGTCGTCATAATGAAGTCAATCTCATTTTTTGTCGAACCGTCGGGGCTCGACCAGGTCCACTTCCTGTGGGGCCGCTTCTGGAAGAAAGAGTTCATCATAAAGAGTCCCTCTTTCTCCATAAAGTCGGCCAGCTGCTGGCCCCTTCGGTTCCGTTGCCCTACTCCAAATTTCCCTAACTTCAGCTCACCGTTTTCTCTTGTGCCTAGTTTTGCGTTGAAGTCTCCCATCAACACCGTGTAGTGGGTTTTGGAGGAATGCATGGCTTTGGAAATATCCTCATACATTTCCTCCACCTCCTCATCGGAATGTGCCGAGGTTGGTGCGTAAACCTGTATGACCTTCAGCGAATACCGTTTGGTGATTCTGAGTATCAGGTACGCGACCCTCGTCGACACACTCCCAATCTTTACAAAGTTGTTGACGAGAGACTTGTGGACGATAAATCCGACACCTCCTTGGGACAGATGGTCGCCCTCCCGGTGATAGAACAAGTTGCCGGATTCGAGAATCACCGTGTCCTCCCCCTCTCTTCGGACCTCGGATAATCCTATAATACTCCAGCGCAACTTGTCTATCTCTTCTTCCAGCTCCAGGATCTTCTCGTCAGTCCTCAGTGTGCGTGCGTTAAATGTTGCCAGGTCGAGTCGTCGTAGGTGGCAACCGAACCTCCACCGGAGATTCTTAGCACCCCCTGCCCCGCCGTTACCATGGTCGCCACCGTAGCCAGGAACAGCGGGGCCGCCGGGGACTGGGGGCCGTCTATTTGTGTAATTGTTCATGGGGGGTATATTGCCATAGTTGCCACGCTTGGCGAGCGGGTTGGCAACCGCAGTTTTTTTTTGTCGTACAGTTGCTGTTATCAGGAAGATGCTGCTGCCCATCTCCTGCCTGTTTCCCTCTGTCGCCTCTCACGACACCCACGGGAAGATATGGGGTAGTGGATATTCTTAAACGCCACTACACGGCATAAAGTAACAATAATTCAATTAATAATTTATGAAAAAAATACTGTATATGAATTTAAATAGAGTGGATCTGTATAAGTATTTAATTTTACATAATATTTGAATTCAAAAAGAATGTTTGTACCTAACTTTTAAGCAATGCAATAATTTAACATTGGGTTTGTGTAATTAGCTGTATTTCATATCATTTTTGTATTATATATTTGAACATGTCAGTTCCACGTCATTGATGATCTTATGTACCATGTTGTTAAGCAAATAAATTTTCTATCTATCTATCTATCTTCTTCTTTCTCTTTGAACTTGATATCTTTTTAAATTTATTTCATGCTTAAAATTAAATTTAAATTTAATTTTGCTTTGCGAAGGCTAACTTCAATCTCGTCAAGAAACACTTCCCTTATAGCATATCATGCATTTGTCGCTGCTGTATTAAGATATGGTCTCATATTATGGGGAAACTCGACTGATGTAAATCGTGCCTTTATAGCACAAAAACGCTGTATACGAGCAATTTGTGGTGTCGGGCCATTAGTTTCTTGCAAACCACTATTTAAAGAATTGGGTGTTCTTACGCTACCATCCATGTACATTTTTGAACTTTCAATATTCGTAAAAAAAGTATCCTCATTTTTTCACTAGGCTAAAAGATACAGTAGCATATAGTACCAGATACCCAGATAAAATTATTTTACCTTCATTAAAAACAAGCCTGTACTCAAAAAATTGCTATGTGCTGGCTATTCAAGTATTTAATAAAATTTCAAATGAAATAAGGCAACTAGATTATAATCGATTTAGACGTAATTTATTAAAGTGGCTTCTAGAAAAACAATTTTATTCGGTAAATGAACTGCTAAAAATAAAAGAACGTTTTGTTTTTAGCAGTTCATTTACCGATTGACTGTTAAACGCTGTTTCTTTTTTGAGTGAGATACGTGTAAATTTTGCATATTCTAACAATAAGTTAATTAGTAAATAAGTTTTCATATACCAAAATTGGTGAAATATGTGATACATTATTATTTTATAAGAACATCCTTGTACCATATTTCTTGTGAATAAATTTATTTATTTATTTAAATTAATAACATAATTTTGTATTGCAAGAAGACACAGCGCGGACCATGCGCGGACGCTGTAAATATTTCGACGGGGTAGGACAGTTCCATACTTAGAGCATACATTACATGTAATGTATGCTCTAAGGTTCCATATATTAACAGATTTGACGTCATTTTTTCGAAATGCGACATCTGTTATCGCCATCCAAAACAATGAGTTACTTTATGTCACCGCAGATGGCGTTACGATCGACGCAAATATAATTTATGACTGAAAAATAATGTAAAAAATATTAATTCCGTTACGTATCATTTTATTTAACACTTAGTATAATTATATGTAAATATTTGTGTAGATTACAAGCTGCGTAATAATTACGACAGCAACACTGTGAACGATTTCTTATTGATGGCTTCTGGCGGGAAGTCAAGTTAAGCGGGAGTTTTAATTCTTGCTGAATTTTCATTTCATTTTATTATGTATATATTTTGTAAATTTCCGCGTAAATAGTTAATTAGTACATACCTATATATAGTGTAAATACAATGGATCCAGATTCCGACGGAGGCCCGACCCCCGCCGAGCAAAAATCAAAGAAAAGGAAATTGCCCGATACTCGCAAAGGAAATGCCGTCGACTACAAAATTTTCACAAAAACAAATTACACGCGACAATTCCCAGAAAACCACAGCGTAGACTGCGTAGTCTACGTTGAATCACAAGAAAACGAAAAAATTGGTAACAAAAATCCAATAACACTTACAAAGTTATTTACGGAAAATGTAAAAGGAATCGCTGGCGTCCACAGAGTGAACGCATATAAAGTGGGCATAATGTTCAGAAAACCTGCACCGGCCAATAACTTCCTTACCATGACACACTTTCTGGGAAAACACAAATTAAAAGCGTTTGTGCCTGCGCACCTCACTGAAATTACTCGTCATAAGATACGTACCTAAAGACTTAAGCAATGAAGACATATACAAAAGCGTTACCTGCGATGCAGAAGTCATCTCCGTCAAGAGATTTATGCGAAAGGTAGATGAAAAGCTCACTCCGCTGGGGACCATTGCAGTGACCTTTGCTGCGACAGCGCTGCCGCAGCACGCCTACATACAGATGTTCAGATACCCGGTCCACATATACATCCCTCCATTACTACAGTGCTACAAATGCCTGAAGTTTAATCACTCTGCGAAAGTCTGCCGAGGTTCTCAAATGTGTTCTTCGTGCTCCGGACAACCTACAAAGAATGCGACGTCGAAAAAATTGTGTGCATCAACTGTCAAGGTGGTCACTTAGCCATCTCTAGGGACTGTCCAGTGAAGCAACAAAAGATGGAAGAAAAGAAGAATAAGTATTTAAAACCAAACCGATTGTATGCCGCTGTGGTGAGTATGCCAGCAATGCCCGACCCGAGAGCATTCCCAAACCTTAAACCTGTAAAGACTATTGATACTGACATAAATAAAGTACCATATAATGCTGAGCAAATACTAAACAACGAGTTAATTATTAATGCGCTAGTCAAATCATTAGTTATGCTTGGCAATGACAAGAGCAGCGCTCCGATTACAAATAAAAGAATTAAAGACATACTTTTAAGTAATTTAATACCATAATGGATACATATTTGAATATAGCACAATATAACATACAGAGCTTACAGAACAAAAGGGCCTTACTTAAAAAATTTCTTTCAGAACAACATATAGATATCTGTCTTTTAAATGAAACCTGGCTTAAAACAACTAGTACAATTCCCGATTTTTCACCCTATAATTTTATACACAAAAACTCAATAAATGAACATAATGGAGTAGGTATATTAATTAAACAAAACTTAAAATACACTATTGTAAATACAACTTTTTTCGAATCTGTGCAAAATATTTGCATTTCCGTAGACACAACTATGGGTAAGTTACATATTCTATGTGTATATTGTCCTCCCAATAGCAGCAGGTTTACTACTAGCAAAATGAAAAAGGTGCTACTTGAAACTCCTAAGCCATGTCTTATTATGGGAGATTTTAATGCGCACCATATCTTGTTTGGATGTCAGACAAATAATAATAGAGGTAACAGTTCATATGCACTTGTTGGTGACTTTGACTTGTGTATTCTGAATGATGGTGACACAGCTACAACTGTCCAGTATCCTAACAGAAATCAGTCGGCAATAGATTTAGCTCTGGTTAGTTCTGCGTTAACTCCTCTTTGTGAATGGCACATCCACGACGACCCGATGGGCAGTTACCACTACCCAACTGTGGTCGCTCTAAATGTGAAGCCTTCTATATATGAAGTGCGTCCTGTGGAAGAAAAATACATTTATAATAAAGCAGATTGGTCTAAATATCAAGAACTATCAGAAACGAGATTTTGTAATTTAGAAATACATGGTACAGAACCTATTGATTTGTATAATAATTTTGTAAATATTTTGTATGATATTAGAGCAGACTGTTCCAAAGCAAACATTACAACAAACTTTAAAGGTAATGAGAAAACCTGCACCCTGGTGGAACCAAACATGTGATGATGCTGTTCGAAAGTCTAAGGAGGCCCTCAAAGAGTATAGAAAATCGCCTAGTATTCCTAATTTCATTAACTACAAAAAACTTGATGCTCAAAAGAAAAGGATATTAAAAGAAGAAAGTATTAATTCATGGCACAATTTATGTACTAGTTTTAATAGAATGACACCTATTTCTCGAATATGGAACTACATGAAAAGGTTTAAAAGGATAGGTTCTTCTCATAACAGATATTTGGCTGACGATTGGATACCAAGCTTCTTAGACAACATAACAGACTCATCGCAGTTGAATGAAGATTATTTGAATGATAGTTTAGATCAATCTGTTGAAAATGAAAGTAACTTGTTTCTCAATAGACCATTCACACTAAATGAATTGTACATAGCACTCAAAAGTAGGAAAGATACAACACCAGGGTTGGACAGCATACCATATATGTTAATAAAAAAATTACATCCTAATGCACAAGAAATGTTATTAAATATTTATAATAAACTTTAGAATAATTTAGCTATACCAGAGTCATGGAAAACCCAATGCGTAATCCCCGTTTTAAAGCCAAATAAAGCTGCTAATGATCCATCATCATACAGACCTATTTCTTTGTCATCATGTTTAGGTAAGCTTTTTGAAAACATGTTAAAGTTGCGTCTAGATTATTTTGCTGAAACACAGGATAAACTACCTCACATACAATTTGGATTCAGAAAAGGCAGAAGTTGCTCTGAAAGCTTTGTATCTCTGATATCGAAACTTAAAAAGGCCAAACTTAGCCATTCTAATGTTATATGTGTATTTTTAGATGTTAAAGGTGCCTTTGACAATGTTAATATTGAATGCCTCATAAAAGTTTTGCATGAATTGGGCTTGCCAAGAAATGTATTAATCTGGATTTTAAATTTCTTGCATGATAGGACTCTTTTTGTTAAATTTAACAATAAACTACATGGACCTAGGCCTGTTAACAAAGGAACAATGCAGGGAGCGACACTTTCACCTTTGTTGTATAATTTATACACATCTCAGATACTTAATTATGTAGATACATCACAAGTTAAAATATTACAGTTTGCAGATGACATACTTTTATACAGTGAAAACCAGAATATAAATACAGCAATTAATAGAATTAATACTGCATTGGCACAATTGCATCATTATTATAACAACATTTTAAAATTAGAAATAAGTTCTGAGAAAAGTAAAGTTTTAGTATTCAGTAAAGACACATTTGTAAACTCTGGAATTAAAATTAACTATAATAATGATGCAATTCCTATAGCCAATCATCATAAATTTTTAGGAGTTGTGCTAGATGATAAACTGAAATTTGATAAGCATATCAACTATATCTGTCAGAATGCCATGAAGAGCATAAATGTACTAAGAAGCTTAGCAGGAACCTTTTGGGGGTCTGATCCAAAAACACTTAGCATGCTGTATAAAAGTATTGTAAGGAGTCACTTTGACAATAGCTCTCTAGTTTACATGAATATTAGTAGCACATTGTTAAGAAAATTGGATGTGATACAGAATATGGGTCTGAGAATAATCAGTGGAGCCATGCGCACCACTCCTATTGTTTCTATGGAAGTTGAAAATTGCATACCTCCATTGTCCTTGCGGCGTTTGCAGTTGGCTGAAAGATTCTGTTTGAAGGAGTTGTCTTGTAGCAATAATATTGTCCTGAGTAATGTTTTATATCCTGCAGAAGTCTCCCAGTTAATTGGAACAGCCAACATCTCAGCTAATACTCTTATTTCGGGTACATTGCCTGAATTAACAACAATAACAACTTGTGTAAAAAATCAGACAAGAGATATGTACATCAGTAACAAGTGGCCTGTTTACAAATGCCCATATGATACATTACTTAATTATCTTGATATAAAATGTCATTTAGATTTGGTTAGTACTAAGAATGAATTCTTAGAATTTTTAAATGAAAAGAAAGACTTCTACACTATATATACTGATGGCTCCAAGAGTGATCTTGTTAAAGCAGCATTTTATGACTCACAAATGAAAGTTATTAAATGTATGAAGTTGCCAAGTAATTGTAGTATTTTTACAGCAGAAAGTTGGGCTATATTAGCTGCTTTGTCATATGTAAATACCAATGTAAATAGTGTAAATATCTTGATAGTTAGTGATTCTAAAAGTGTTGTATCTGCTTTATGTAACTGTAATTTAGTATATAAACAGAATTATATTTTGTATAAAATTAAGGATAAGCTGCAAACGATTGGAAAATGTATAGAATTCTTATGGGTTCCCTCACACAGTGGCATAGTCGGAAATGAGATAGTGGATCAGGCGACGCGGCAAGATCACCACGAAGACCAAACACAAGATTGTAAAGTCCCCTTCACAGATTATTATCAACACTTTAAAATCTTGTCAAAGAAACTGTGGAAGGATTACTGGAACATTACTACCGTGAATAAGGGAAAATGGTACGCAGAATTACAGCCAGGACTTACCAACGATTCCGTGGTACAACCGCCTTAAATACACAGTTCAAAGTTCATAACGATCATTAACCGCTTGCGGTTTGGCCATTGCCTCGTCCCTGCACATCTGTACAGAATGAAGATCGTAGCTGATGACAAATGCACACATTGCGCTCAACATAATGCAGACATAAACCACATAATTTTCCAGTGCCCATCGTTTGGGATTCAAAGGTTGACACTTGTCAGTGAAATTAGTGATGTCGCTGAATAAAATTCTATAAGTGTTCCCCGCCGCGTTCAGGATCTATTAACTGATGTAGTTTTTTTCATGCCTATATTTTGAATTTATACTTAATACTGTAGGAAAACTTTAATTATTTATGTGTCCTTAGTTAATTGATAATGTTTGTAAATAGCTTCTTAATTCATTTTGTAATTTAGTCTGTTCTGTATTTATATAATAGGAAAAAAAGTAGAAAAATTATGGAAAACCATTCTAAATTGTTATTGCTAAAGTTAAATATTCTTAATTTGATGTATGATTTGTGTTATAAGTACTGTAATGTTTTCGACTGAAGGTCCTCGCAACCATGGTCACGAATAAATTAAAAGAAATTTTCTTATTGATTGTCAAATGTCAAATAGTCACGTCATCACAAATATGGCGACTGTTCCTTGCGTTTGCGCGTGTTTGTAGTTTTCGTCCCATCTTTGTGCTTTTCTTCGTGAAATTAATCCGCCGATCCACGTTGAGTTGAGTCCTATCCTCCGTAGTGAAGTGTAAGAATTTTCCGAAGTTATAGTGTGAGTTGAGCTGTTCCTCCGTCATTCTAGTGCAATCGTTTTTTTGCGACCCGGACGCTTCGTTTGTGCTGTTTCTTTGCGATATAGACGCTTGTGATTTGTTTTTATCATGCCTAAACGGTGTGCATTGGGATGTTCAAACAGTAGGTATAATCATCATTATATCTCTGCCATCTTGCCTCCATAGAATTCCACAGTGCCTTGTCAACTTCAACTTACAATTTACATAAAGTTACAGCCTATATACGTCCCACTGCTGGGCACAGGTACCCCCGTTTCTTAGATGGTTGTAGGGCAAGGAAGTGTTCGCCGTGTTACCCCGTTGCAGGTTAGCGAATTTCTCGTTTCTCCGAAATATTTTTTTTCTTATTTCTCATATATGCAGCTTTCCTCAGGATGTTTTCCTTCACCGCCGAGCATGTGGTAAATCAACACTTAAAATTGCAACTATCAATTTCATTGGTGCCAGCAGGGACCCAACCTGATTTGCTTGCATAATGTGAAGTTTACAGCGAGCGCTAACCATCTGAACCACCGTGGCTTACATTCTTGTCCTAAATGATAGATAAACAGAATAAGATTTACATTATAGATGGACCACTGCAGTTATCTGTGTTTATATTTGTAGGTACTTATTAAAATTATACCTTTCCCTCTCCCGGGTGATGGCCATAAGCCATTAGAAATGTTTGACAGAAATAAGTATGAATATAGCCTTAACTTACAAACCAGTCTTAAATGCTCTCACATTTAGTTTAATACATGATATATCTAATCTACAAAAGTATTCTATTGCAACCAACATATTAGTAAAAATTATAATACTGCATTACATGCACTACTTTAATTAATGCATTTCAAGGTAATTATACAAGCAAAGTGTAAAATATTTTTCATTAATAGCTACATCAAAGAATAATGTGATAGCAACATTACTAATTATAATTATAACTATTTTGTTATAGCAATATTAAATTTTTGTAAAATGGCATAAATAACAAAATCAATGAGGATTGGAGTAGCCATGGAATTACAATTCTGTAATAAAGAACTTGTATACTCATGTATTACAAACCAATTTTTGCATTCAGGAGATTTCTTAACTAAGTACACTTACATAATCTTTATTTTTAATCTGTGAGATTAGTTGAAATATCAATAGGGCAACATAAAAGGTAATACTGAAAGTTCTTAGAAAATCAAAAACTGAACAAACTAGCAAGTTATTAGTTTTATTACATCTTTCCAAAATGGTGTCTATTTACATCAATACATTGCTGTATCCAATGGAATCACCGAGAAAAGCACTTTGCTTACTTGCCCTTAGTGGTCTCTTCGACGACATTTTGAAATGCAGCCATTGCTTCCTCGGTGTCCATTAAACATTTTCCTCAAAGTTTTTCTTTTGTTTTCGGAAATAAATAAACATCACAAAGTGCGAGGTCGGTGCTATAGGGAGGGTGACCCAGTAATTCCACGTCTGATGTTGCCAAGAAGTCGATTGTTTGCTTGGCGGTGTGAGACGAGCCGTTTTCGTTGTGAAGTAAGATCCTAGTGTGAGGTTATTTCTCCCGAACATTTTCCAAGACAAGTAGCAAACAATTGTTGGTGAACCACTCTGCAGTAACTGTTTTACAATTCTCTGAAACAATGTTGCATAATGACCTGTCCTTCCGAAGAACGAGGTCACCATCTTTTTTCCCACGCTTCAACCTCTCTTCACTTTATTGGCATTTCCTTGGAAGGAAAAACCAAGACAGCAGACTGTCTCTTAGTTTCAGGATCATAACAATAAATCCAGCTTTCGTCACCCGTAAGTATGTCAAACACAGCATTTGTGTAACCTCAGTTAAATCTTTAAACCATTTTTACACTACCATAATGAGGTATGAATCTATAAATCATAAACAAATGACAAATTAATAAAATACATACACAATAATATTGGCAAATAGTTCAATTTTCAAAATTTGAACTTACTTTTTTATTATATAGTGTTTACAAGTGGCCAGTTCTAAAAACTTTCAGTGTCACCCTCGTACAAACAAGATTAAAATTAAATGATCATTTATGTAAAAAATTAAAGGCAATTTGAACCAATAACTTTAAAACCTAAAGAGTAGGTGTTATCATTGCCTTTCTAAGTGTAGCATTTCACTTCGATATAAACTATAGATTAGTTGTAAGTCCTAAGCCATAGCACAGTTTTAGGTATATTAAAGGTAAGTACTGGCACATTTAAATCCACATGCTTGAGCAAGAGTATTTTTAAAAACTAAATGCCTTAATCAAACTTTATTTTGCACGTTTAGAAAAGCTATTTACAAATATTATATGGTGGTATAACCCTTTTTGTAAGAGTCTGACTTGCACTTGTCTGTTTTTTTTTTAAATATTAGTAGGATCATTGGCTCTATTAGCAAAAATTGTTATGCATCATTATTCAGGAAAATTATTTTAGATCTTTAAACTTTTCAAGAAAAATATTAAAAGTGATCTTTCTTTTTTTTTTCAGAGACTTCCTATCATCAATTTCCACATCCAGAAAAGAATCCTGACCGTTTCAAGGCTTGGGTTCATATAGCTTTTGGGAAGTTAGATAGTCCTGCTGATTATGAACTGTATAGAAAGAAGGTCATCTGTGATCCATTTTACAGACAGGGATAGAAACCGTAATAACCGGTTGAATTTTCTAGCTGTGCCATCACTTCATCTTCCTGGTAAGATTTACATATAATACAAATAAGAGCATTTTAACTTATTACATATTAATTATTATACAATAGTGGTACTGGGCTTGAGTTGAAGTTAGCATTTTGCTAATATTGCATATTTAACTGAAATACTTCCCTAATTAGGCAAAAAAAATGGCCTAAATGATGGGAAATCGTTTTGCCCATGTTTTTAACAAGTGCAAATACAGTACCATGCGTTGTCCCATGTTAAACCCTATATTAATTAGTATGTAGGCTCTATTGCTAGTATTGTTTTATTTTTATGCTTATTAGTAATTTTTCAACTTGTATTATATTTATTTTATAATGATAAGAAAACATATTTATGGTGGTTATTCTGTGTGGTGGAAAAATTAGATGTTTATATGTTTTTATCCCACTTCTAATTAAAAATTCTTTAACATTATAAGTTTTTATCAATTTTTTAAATATATAACATTTTTCTCTTATTTTTAGGCAAGTCTGATGAAGTTGTTACTTCAGAGAAAGTTTTACTTGTACCTGAACCTGTGAATGAAGAAAGCAGCCTTGCTGCATTAAAACCGACACTAACAGGTACTTACATATTGATTCCAATTATCATAGGTAGCAATTAAAGAAAAGCAAAATAAAAACAAAGGATTAGTAGTCTAGATGCTATCAGCGTCTTCAAAAGGTCATTATCGTCAATCAATTATATAATTACTTGTTATGACAAATTAAATGCAACTGTATCATAATTAATTTTGGGCCTAACCTAATAAAATATACTCTAAATGTTATAGTTATTGGGCTCAATACAGTTATTGGCCATTTAGATTCTAGTCTAAATTACAACTTCAATGATAAGTAAAACAACAACATTGAAAAGCTTGGTGTTAGAGCTTTGTGCGCGCTACACGACTGTAAAATGCCGAGCAGACCTGCATGGTGATTTATAACCCCATCTCCCTATGTATCTGTGCTCAGCATTAGACTTAAAACATATCTCTTATTTTTCAGGCAAGTCTAACGATGATGGTACTTCAGATAAAGTTTTACTAACACCTGAACCTGTGAATAAAGAAAACAGCCTTGCTACATTAAAATCAACACTAACAGGTACTTACATATTGATTGCAATTATTATCGTAGGCAGCAATTAAAGAAAAGCAAAATAGTTTTTTTTAAGGGAATAGTCGTCTAGGTGCCATCAGCATCTTCAAAAGGTCCTTATCGCCCATCAGTTATATAGTTACTTGTTATAACAAATTAAATACAATTGTATCATTATAAAATTTTGGGCCTAACCTAATAAAATATACTCTAAATGTTATAGTTATTGGGCTCAATACAGTTAAATTCATCATCATTGAAAATGTAATTTAGACTAAATAGAATCTAGTCTAAATTACATTTTTAATGATAAATAAAACGACAACATTGAACAGCTTGGTGCAGCGCTACATGACTATAAAATCTCGAGACGATCTGCATGGTGTTTTATGACACCATCTTCCTATGTATCTGTGCTCAGCATTAGACTTAAAACATATCTCTTATGTTTCAGGCAAATCTGATGAAGTTGGTACTTCAGAGAAAGTTTTACTTGTACCTGAACCTGTGAATGAAGAAAGCAGCCTTGCTACATTAAAACTGACAACGACAGGTACTGACATATTAATTCCAAATATTTATTACATTCATGTTGTTGGTAAATTTATATACATAAATTTGGACTAAATTAAATCTAAAAATAACACTAACAAAATCAATATTTCTCATGAATTTTTCTTTCTTATTACAGATAACTCTGCCAGAATCAATTCAGAACACAATTATTGCCGACTGCAGAAGAAGGCGATACATAAAAACAATAGTAAGTTTTTTTAGATATTTAGGGGATTAGGAAACAGAGTGCACTTTTAAGAAAAGCACTATAGTGTTTTCCTAAAAAACATCCGAAATCCCCAATCCCGACTAAAAATCAAATGGATAGTAATTGGCCATAATTTTGTAAAAGCTACTGACATATAAATAAATACATACAGTGCACAGAAATAGTAATAATAAGACAATAGAAATGAATTAGCGCTCGATTACTTCCTATATTCCTATAACCGATGTCGCCACATCTTACCGTATTATAAACATACGCACAATGCACAATGATATCTAATGTTTCACATTACATTGCTTGGTGAGTTTGTCAATGCAAAAAAAGCAGCAATGTTAATTGTACAATACGAAAACTAATAAGTGAGAGTTTACAAAGGTAAATATCATAGTAAAGTATTCGTCTAGATCTAAATTAGTTAAAACAATGAAAATTAGTAAACTATCAACTTACTGATGAAATGTTATGCCTTTATTAGTTGAATTACACATCCTTGATGAGTTTTTACAACTGATTATGCTGCAGTTCACCATTATAAATTTATAATAACATAAATTCACGGACGACGTTCCCCGCGCAACTTAATCACAAAATGGTGAATGATGTTCGTCAACACATCATAGCAGCGACAAGGTCACGCGTATGTGCGACTTCTATTGTCTTATTACTTAATACGTATATTACAACATTTTTAATACACACATACACTACACACAGTTCTAATCCTAAAATGCATATTTATGAAAATTAAAAATACCGTCAAGGAGCTATGTACAGAAGACCGCTTATGCAGCTTAATTTTCGATGAAATGTCAATATCCCCTCAAATCCATTATAACGCTGCTAAAGACCAGCTTAGAGGGTTCACATTTGATGGCAAGAAAATTGCTGACCATGTATTGGTCTTCATGGTGAAGGGGTTAAAAAAGAAATTTAAGCAACCCATTGCGTATTATTTCACCAACTCAGTGAATAAACCTCAATTAAAAGAAATATTACAAAAAGTTATTAAGTATGTATATAGTACTGGGTTAAAGGTCATATGTACTGTCTGTGATCAAAGTACAGTCAATGTAAGTGTAATAAATGACTTGGTAGAAGATACAAGAAAAAAAAATTTATAAGAGAAGAAAAGGAATTTAGGCATGAAATCATTGAAATAGGAAGAACAAAAGTAATCCTTCTATTTGATGTTCCACATTTAAAAGGAGTCCGAAACAATTTACTCACGAAAGATTTAAAATACTATGATTTTGAAGAAAAGTGCGAAAAAATCATCAAATGGGATTACTATAAGCAAACTTATGAAGCTTATAAGTCGTATGGAGAGGTGAGGTGCCTACTAAAAGTCACAGATGAGCACATCTATGTCGATAAAATTAGAAAAATGAAAGTGAAAACAGCAGCCCAAATTTTCAGTCACGCGGTAGCTGCGACTGCAGGACATCTGGTGGCAAGAGGAGACATTCCGGTGGAATGCCAAAATATGGTAAAATTTACAAAATTAATAGACAATCTTTTTGATTCTTTAAATTCTAACACATTTCATGTGCCTGATGGCAAAATATATAAAGGATGTGTTAGACGATCTAGTCCACACCATGGTTTGTGGAAGAATGCCATAAAAGTTTTGAAAACTGTAACATTTATTAAAAAAAATTAGGGACAAAAATAACAAAATCCGCTTGATTGAAACAAAAGCTATACCATCTATAAAAAACTTCATACATACAATTAAAGGATTGCAACAATTATGAATATTGCTGTCCCAAACATATTCATTTGATGCTATGCTAACACGTAATTTCAACCAGGACCCACTAGAAAATTTTTTTTAGGAATATCAGAAGTTATGGGGCGAGAAATACTGCACCAGACACGGTTGCGTTTGAAGGGGCCTTTAAGACCCTTTTAATTAATAATTTTAACTCGCCCCATTCTCTGCATGCAAACTGCGAAAAAGACGACGATAGCTGCTTGCAGAATCTAGATTTTTTTTGTAAGAGAAAATATCGCGTCAACTTCTGATATTCCTAGTCCCATTTATGAGGAAACACCACAATTTTCTGAAAGCATAGAAGACGAAATTGTAGTGCCTTTCATCAATTTAAATACCAGTATAAATGATGCTGGTCAGGGCAATTATGTGTGTGGGTGGGTCCTTGGGAAATGCATAAAAAATGTTTCAAAAAGCTGCAAAGTATGTAAAAAAGATATGTATGGCAGACCTGAAAGCAAATCCAATGATTATATACGGGCAAAAGAATATAAAAAAGGTAAACATTCTTTAATATACCCATCTGAAGGAATGGAAAAATGTTTTGTCCAAATTCAAAATTTAGTGACAGACATACTAAAAAAAAGATGTTCCAAAAATGGGCTTAAAAAGTAAAATAAAAATGTTTACCGACATATTTGTTGACTTTCCATTTAGTTGTGAAAAACATCAAAAAATATTACGAAATTATTTTGAAAACACAATTATTCATGTGCTTATATATAGTTGGTGCCGTTCAATAAACCGGATTTTGTCTGGTAAAATGAAATTCCATGGTGAGGATGAAACTAAAGCAGCAGCCCAAGCTTATAATAATAAACACAAGGTAAATAAATAAATAATATTGTAAAATAAAAGTTGTTTTTTTTTTTGTTTATCCAGTAACCTTTTGAAATTGATGCTTCCTTACTAATTGGCTTGTTTTTAATTTGATAAAGTTTTACTAAGGTTTTGTTAAAGAGAAAAATAAAATCAAGTAAAACTTTATCAACTTGAATACAAGTAAATAAGTAAGGATGAAGGAAAAGCTACTATTGCTTTTAGTACCTATAGCCAGCTATAGCTATAGATGTTAAGTTTATGGATGGCGATAATAGATGGCGCTATTTATCACATCAATTGACATTTGCGGTTTTCAATAAATTCCACGAGTGGGCTCTCTATGTACGATATATTACTTTCCTCTATGTTTCGACCAGGCTCTACAATCTTAGAACATAAAACTTGGAAACCTACGAAATGCTATTATGCAAAATTAAGACGCACTTAGTAAACTATTTAAAACCATATCTATTGACTACTTTTTATTTTAGTCGTATTATAAAATCGTATTTATTCCAACTTACAATAATAGGTGACACTGTTCAAAATTTCAAGCGAATAATTCGTTCATCACATACTAGATGTCGCCACTACATAGGTAGTGGCGACATCTAGTATGTCTCATCTATCAGGTAGCTTTACAAAATCTTTAAAAAAAATAGTTCTATTTAGTAGAAAATAAGTGTAACAGAAATTAAGATATTTGCTTTTGTTTAACATTAATATAAAATCTGTAATGAAAATTTTTGAAATTTTCTTATAAATAAATACTGCTTACATATGCTTTCGTAAAACTATTCATTAAAAAATCTAGTAACTAGATGTTTTTGATATTTTTTTGAAACTGAATCTGGCAGCACAACAACCTGCCATTATGGAATAGTTTTATTCACGTTTCCCGCTACTTGTTTCTCGATATTGGAGTTGCGAATAACTAATGTTTTATTTTATTTGGTGGAGTTGCTCCTATTTTATGAAAGTGTTTTTATGTTATTTTTTTTGTTTTATTTTATCTATTATATCATTTACGTTGAATTGAGCTACCTATTATTCTTACAACTTCATTTCCAACGATTTGTTTTTTTGTGATATCTTGTCTCCATTGTTACATAGAATAAATAATTTAAGTCAGATAAGCGTTGCTGTGTCCCCGGATGTAAGGACAGTAAGGGTAAGTCATCTCGTCTCCAAACAACTTGCATCAAGGGCATTATTTGTCTTAGGCTTTAACACATAAGTATGACTTTTTTTAAATGTATCTTGTAAATATTTTAGGCAAGCTAGTTCTTCACAGATTTTCAAACCCAGAAAAGGAAAGTGAACGATTTAGGGTATGGATTTATGCAATTGGCGGTGATATACTAGGCCTCGAAAATATGCACATATTCAAGTATCGCCGTGTGTGTCACTCACATTTTGAAGAAAAATTTCAATGCAGAAATAACAGAATTAGTAACATTGCTGTGCCAACTTTGAATATGCCAGGTTTGTCTTTATAGATTACAGAAAAAGTAAATATGTTATAGAATTAATTCAGGACAGTATATTATCAATGACATGTATAGTTTTATTGTAAAATATGTCTAATTGAGTAGGTACCTACATAGCATTAATTTTTACATATGATTCATTCATTAAATAAATAGAATAAAATGAAATACTACTTATATGCACTATAGAGCTTAAAAGGATAATACATGTAGCGATTCCGGCTGACAGAAGGATGAGGATATGATAATTAAGCCTAGTTTTCATAAATATTAAGTTGGCAATGTGTTATCACCCCACTTTTTCTACTTTTTTTCATTAAATAATGTTCTATATTATTATTATATTGTGAAATTATACTTTTTTGCAAGTCATCACAGATACTGGGCCTGTTTTTTATTGCCATATATATAAATAATTTCAAAGTTAATCCTATTATTTTCTTTTAGCTACATTATCAAATAAACCAGCAGTTATGAAAAGAAAACCCATGAAAGAAATTTTGAACCTAGCAGAACCGTCAACATCAACAGGTACTGATATATATGATCATATATGTATTATCATGATTACAGCACATCACAAGTCCACAGCTGAACATAGTATGTGACCTTTTCAAGGGGACTTAATATACATATGAAAAAATGTTAATTTATTTAACCAAAAAAAAAGAAAAAAGTTTCCAGTAGAAAGGGTTGAGATGATACAGAAGTTCCTAAATTTGGATTGACTTAACTAAGAGTCTAAAATATATACTATATATTGTTATATGATAACTAAAAATCCATAAAATTAAACACAATAAAATCTCTACAAATATAATGGAATAATCTAACATAAAATTTATAAAACTTATGTACATGTTAAATAACTTTAATAAAATTTTAATAAACCTCAAAACTAATAAAAGAG